CATACAAATCTCACTCACTTAACAACGAGCACGGCATTGCTGCCGTGATTGTAGGGAGTATTCACTACATCCAGGGTTGAAAAGTATGCTGCGCCTCCGATCATTTCCAGGACCGTCTGCACACTTGGCATGGGAAATTCTGGTGGTATTTCCAACGCATTCAAGGCTTGCTAGTTAACCACCAATCTCATCTTTCGTTCGCCCGTACCATCGTCCCGTTTGTCGACCATTATAGTTGGAGCGCAAATCCGAGAATATGTTGGTCCGATCCACCCTTTAGCGGTGAAGCGTGCTATCTCCTTGGTGTGGTAAACCAATTGTTCAGGCGGCATCTTGTATATAGGCGCGCGCGTCGGCAGTCGGCCAGGTAGAAGGAGGGTTCGATGATCAAAGGGTCTCTTGGGTGGGAGTCAATCAGGCAAGCTGTCTGGGAACAAGAGACGACATTGTCGCAGCACCGCGAGTATCTGCGGGGGCAAACGGAGGGCCTCAGGACTACTAGACCAAGCATCGAATTCCGTAAACTCTAGTTTGGCTTTGGGCCACGCTGATTCTTCCTTATCCACGGTTGTCGCGCCTTCTGGCTGGGAGGGAACTGCTCCTAACTCATCGTGTGTTGCCGTTTTGTGTTCCACGATCGCATACAGTAGCGGGCCCTGTCGCTCTATAGGTGTGTGGACTACTCGATCAGGTTCTGCTGCAGGCAGAACGACTACACAGTTCAGTCCTTGTATGGCTCCCTTTAGTACTGCTGTGTCTTCCCGTGCCTGCCTCAGAATGTCCTTTACCTTTATCCGTCCCCTCGCCCGGCGCTGGGTTTTATAGCGTTCGGAAGGTGGGCAAAGGAAGGCTGCCGCTTCTTCCGCTGTCATTCTCGCAACTTGCTTCGCTAATTCATCGTAGGCGTGATCCACCGCCGTCTTGGTTGGTTCCGAGTCGAGGAGCGCCCCTCTCATCGGCTCACTCCCCTTACGTAGCACAGGCAGATTGCACCATCGGCCCTTTACGTATGTCCGGAGCTTGTCAGATTGGAAGTACCATGCCACCTTGTGATTGACTAGCCAGTCGATTCCTAGGATGACGGAATATGGTATTGGTCCTACAAGAAAATCACCGGTGAAGCACTCTCCCCCGCAGAGCATTGACAACCTTGGCACCTCTCTGTCAATGTGTATAACCTCACCGTTGGCTATTGTGAATGAATACGCTTCCGGCAAAGCGCGTGTCTTCAACCCTAGCCGCTCCACGATTGTCGGGCGAATAAAACTTCTGGACGCCCCTGTATCTAAGAGTGCCTCACATATATGTCCCACTATCCCGAGTTGCAACACAGCTGTTTTGCCCACACTACAAAGGGATCCCAGGTATTCCGGTGCATGCTCAACTGCATCTCCCTCTTGCCACCAGAACCACTGTGGTATCATCATCACTTCCTCGCTACCCTCCCCGTCTGAGGCACCCCGTCCTCGTAGCTGTTGCCCCACTCCTTCCTGCGGCTCATGTCCCCTCTCCTTGATGTTCCCATGTATTCCCACGCACTCGTTCCCGTCGTTCCCGTTCGCGACCCTCCCGTTATCGTTGCCTCGTTCAGAGCTACTGCTGAGCAGCAGCACTTGCCTTTGGGGCTGCCGCCCCGGGCGTCTGCTTGCCGGATGCTCCTGTCTCTGCACACCCTGTCCGTTCCCGTTATTGACGCCGCCATGTAGCCCCCAGTTAGGGGAGACGGTGATGGCGTTAGGCCCGGTTGCGACCCGGCCTATATTGCCGCCAGATATTGATTCTGGCCTAGTGCGTCCGTCTCCCTCAACGCTTAGGCCTGCTCGTTTGACCGGTTAACTCCTGTATCAGTATCGGTAGATGTTGAGGTTGTGGATCTTTGCCTTCCAGTCAGTATTCGTTGGGTTGTTGCACAGTCTCTGGCATAGTGATCCCTTCCTCCGCACTTTGAGCAAGTTTCTCCTCTTCGCCTCGTTATTCCGTTGCGCAGAGGGCAGTCCCTTCCCATATGTCCTTGGCCTGTGCACTCATAACGGCGTATCACGTCGTTTTCGTCCGCGGTGGCTCACCTAGCCGTCACCTGGATCCGCCTTGTCGAGTTGGTAGTGCTGCCGGTTCCCGTTCGACGCGGTATTTCCGCATTCTTGGTTTCCCCCTCCATGCGCTGCCTCTTCGCACGGCAAGCTTCTAACGGCGCAGCACATTCCCTTAGGGATGTGGCGGCCTCCTGCCAGCTTGGAAATTCCTTGGTTCCCTTATTAGTCAGCTCTTCGCCTATTTCCTCCGCTAACCCCACGAAGAAGCACATCAACAGTTCCTCTTCAGGTATAGTTTCTCCTTGTGCTACTATCTCGGAGAACTTAGTATTGTACTCGTTATAATCTCCTGGCCACGGGTTGTTCCTCATTCGCACCAGCATCCTTTCACGCGTCAGAACGCAAAACCTCTCGCATAATCTCTCGCGTATGATGTGCCAGTCCGTCATATCAGTTCACGATCGGTATAGGAGCTCCCATTGCGTTATGGCCTTGCCAGTCAAGTATCTCCATAACTGGAGTCCCCACTGTTCTTCTGGTACTTCCAATTCTCGGAATTCCTGTTCTATCAGGCTAAGGAAAGACCGCATATTGGTTCCGTCTTCGGTAGCAGCAATCCCCTTTCGAATTGTGTTGTCTTTGTGGGGGTTGGCTCGGATTTCGGTGCTTGCTCGGCTTTCGTTTGCCATCTGACGATGCAATTTCATTATCTCTTCGGCGTTGGTGCGAATCAACTTCGTCAATTCTAACTTCCACTCGGCGTCCTGGTCCTGACCCCTTGAGCTCTTTCTACTCCCGGTTGGCTCGTTTTCCCGAAGGGATCTGGTCCTAAGAAGCCAAGGTCAGTTTGCGCGGCACTCACTGAATGTGGCGAGAACAAAATGCATAGCTTCGCGTTTGTGGCGGCGCGAGCAAGTCAGGAGTGTTT